AAGATAAGAGCAGCACGTAGACTAACTGTGTGTAGGAAGAGATGCCTTCCTGACGAGGATATACCGATGGATGTAACAATACCATAGGAGCACCACAGTTTTAATCAAATACCAACTAAATAGACACATTTATTAGATGTGGTAAATTAGGTAAGAATTAAGAAAACTGCCATTTCCAATAGCAAAAATAGAAGGGGCAGGATGAATTTTCCCACCTGCCTGCTGGCCAGGAACTCATCTATGTCTGTCAGATGTTTCTGGATCTGTTTCATGCCTGTGGTCTCCAAAATGAGACCACATTAGAGGAAGGATAGGGGTTTCCTAAAGTAGGATATTTAAGGGGGCGGTAAAGACGTGCCATGTTAATCTTCAGCCTCCCACCGTAGATTACAATCTCTCAGGGAGAAGATGTAGCTCCCTGCATAATCAGATGAGGCTATCAAGGGTTAATTATTGAAAAGAGAGCTGTCCTCATCCCCATCCTCCCCACAGTTCACCCACTAAGCCCTTCCCAAAATCTTTAGGAAAGTTGTCATTTTACACTTTAGTGTGGTGGTGTTTTAGTGAAAAACCCAGATGATTTCAACTATCCTTAAACCTCTGTTTTTCTCTGCAGTCAGTGGAGAGAGGCAAGCTCGTTCAGTGGAGAGGGGCAAATTGGAGCACTAAAGTTATTCTTCATGTCTGAATTGCTCTCTAAAGGAAACTCTCTATTGACTGAAGAGGTAACCCAAGGAGAGTAGCATCCTGAGGCTAAGATTAGTCTTTGCAAATATTCCCATTAGATCATCTACTCTGACTTCCTGTGTTTCACAAGCCTTTGAATTTCACCCAGCAGCCTCTCTATTGAATTCAATAACTTGTGTTTAGATAAAGCATATCCAAAAAGACATTTATTCTTGAGTTGAAGACATTAATAGAGATAGTGTATCCATTGCTTCCTTTGTTGGTTTGTTCCGTAGTTAATCATCTCCACTATTAAACTTTGTGTGCCTTACTTCTTTTAATTTATCTGGCATGAGCTCAGTACACAGCTGCTTGTTATGCTTTTTCCTTCTTAACTAAAGAACCCTTTAGTCTGTGGGATTTTCTCCTGAGGGAGCTATTATAATCAAGTCACCACTCTATCTTCTTTTTGATAAGCTGAAAGGATTTTCCTTTCTCTAAAGTGTTTTTCCTCTTTTCTCCAGTGCTCATTCTGGTCTTCTCTGCAGCCTGTGGTGGTTTCGCCTTCCCTTCTGTCTGATAGCGATCTCACCTGTGCTGTGGGTGGAGATAAGATCAGTCTAGCCTATTCACTGTTTTGCTCCGCTATCACACCCAAGGTTCCCTTTGAGCTATGCTTTCTCAGAGATCCCCTAAGTCCTTTCTGGAGTTACTGTTTTGCAGAACATGATCCTCCATTTTTCAAGTATGGCCCAACTTGTTCCTGGTTGTTTAGCTTTTCATGTGTCTGTGTTAAAATAGATTTCATCTGAATTGGTCCACCTTACTTTTTTAAGGTAAGGTGGACCAATTCAGGTTCAAAAGGTCCACTTTTTGAACAGGTCAAAATCCCTCTTTCTGTCTGTCTTTACATTTACCATTCTGCCAGCTTTTGTGTAATCCACAAATGTAACAGCAACAACTTTTTCATTTAGTTCCAGTTTATCCATGACAAAGTATCAGCACAGCTACTGAACCTTGCATCACCCTGCTAAAATCAGGATCACAGTATCACAGTAGGTTAGAGATTGGAAGGGACCTCAAAAGATCATCTAGTCCAATCCCCCTGCCGGAGCAGGAACACCTAGATAAGGTTACACAGGAACATGTCCAGGCGGGTTTTGAATGTCTCCAGAGAAGGAGACTCCACAACCTCCCTGGGGAGCCTGTTCCAGTGTTCTGTCACCCTCACTGAGAAGAAGTTTCTTCTCAAGTTTAAGTGGAACCTCTTGTGTTCCAGTTTGTACCCATTGCCCCTTGTCCTATCATTGTTTGCCACTGAGAAGAGCCTGGCTCCATCCTCGTGACACTCCCCCTTTATATATTTATATACACTAATAAGGTCACCCCTCAGTTTCCCCAAACTATAGAGACCCAGCTCCCTCAGTCTCTCCTCATAAGGGAGATGCTCCACTCCCTTAATCATCTTAGTTGCCCTGCGCTGGACTCTCTCCAGCAGGTCCCTGTCCTTCTTAAACTGAGGGGCCCAGAACTGGACACAGTATTCCAGATGAGGTCTCACCAGGGCAGAGTAGAGGGGAAGGAGGACCTCTCTCGACCTACTAACCACCCCCCTTCTAATACACCCCAGGATGCCATTGGCCTTCTTGGCCACAAGGGCACAGTGTTGGCTCATGGTCACCCTGTCGTCCACTAGGACCCCCAGGTCCCTCTCCCCTACACTGCTCTCTAACAGGTCGTTCCCCAACCTATACTGGAACCTGGGGTTGTTCCTGCCCAGATGCAGGACTCTACACTTTCCCTTGTTATATTTCATCAAGTTATTCCCTGCCCAACTCTCCAGCCTGTCCAGGTCTCGCTGGATGGCAGCACAGCCTTCTGGCATGTCGGCCACCCCTCCCAGCTTAGTGTCATCAGCAAACTTGCTGATAGTACACTCAATTCCCTCATCTAAATCATTGATGAATATATTAAATAATACTGGTCCCAGTACCGACCCTTGAGGCACTCCACTAGATACAGGCCTCCAACTAGACTCCGCCCCATAGACTACAACTCTCTGGCTTCTCTCCTTCAGCCAGTTCACAGTCCACCTCACCACCCGATCATCCAGACCACACTTCCTCAATTTAGCTGCAAGGATGCTGTGGGAGACTGTGTCAAACGCTTTGCTGAAGTCAAGGTAGACCACATCCACCGCTCTGCCATCATCCATCCACCGTGTTATTTCCTCATAAAAGGCTATGAGATTGGTCAAGCATGACTTCCCCTTGGTGAAGCCATGTTGACTGCCCCTCATAACCCTCTTATCCTTGGTATGCCTTAAGATGGCACCAAGGATAAGGTGTTCCATCACTTTCCCAGGAATGGAGGTGAGGCTAACCGGTCTATAGTTACCCGGGTCCTCCTTCTTGCCCTTTTTGAAGACAGGAGTGACATTTGCTTTCCTCCAGTCCTCAGGCACCTCTCCCGTTTCCCAAGACTTGGTAAAGATGATGGAGAGCGGTCTAGCAATGACCTCTGCCAGTTCCCTCAGCACCCGCGGGTGCATCCCATCTGGACCCATGGATTTATGGATGTCCAGATTGCTCAACTGGTCTTTAACCCATTCCTCATCGACTAAGGCAGACCGCTCCGTTGACCTATCTTCATCCGAGGTCTCAGCGGTACAGGGCTCTTCAGGACTGCCTCCGGCAGAGTAGACAGAGACAAAGAAGGCATTCAGTAACTCTGCCATCTCTGTATCTTCTGTCACCAGGGCACCCGTCCCGTTCATCAGCGGGCCTACATTGCCTCTGGTGTTAGTTTTATCTGCCATGTATTTGAAAAAGCTCTTTCTGCTGTCCTTGACCCTTCTCGCCAGCTTTAATTCCAAGGAGGCCTTAGTCATCCTAGCTGCTTTCCTACATCCTCTAGCAGCAGCCTTATATTCCTCCCAAGTGGCCAGCCCTTCCTTCCATGACCTGTAAACTCTTCTCTTCCACTTCAGCATACCCAGCAATTCCCTATTTAGCCACACAGGTCTCCTGACCCTCTTCCTTGACTTCCTACGTGTCGGGATGCTCTGATCTTGAGCTCGGAAAAAGCAGTCCTTGAACGTCAACCAACTATCTTGGACCCCTTTACTTTCAAGCAGCCTAGTCCATGGGATTTCCCCTAGCAATCGCTTGAAGAGGCCAAAGTTTGCCCTGCTAAAGTCCAGGGTTGTAATTCTACTTGCTATTGTACTGGCCCTACCACACAAGATCCTGAATTCCACCATCTCATGGTCGCTGCAACCAAGGCAGCCCTCAACCTTCACTCCTTCAACCAGACCCTCCTTGTTAGTGAGGATGAGATCCAGCAGCGCACCTCTCCTGGTTGGCTCATCCACCATTTGCATGAGGAAGTTATCATCCATACACTGGAGGAACCTCCTGGACTGCGGCTGGGTTGCCGAGTAGTCCTTCCAGCAAACATCAGGGAAGTTAAAATCCCCCACGATGACCACGGCCTGTGACTGTGAGGCCGCTCTCAGCTGCCTGTAGAAGGCCTCGTCAACTTCCTCACCCTGATCCGGTGGCCTGTAACAGACCCCCACAACAGTATCGCCCCTGCCAGCCTGTCCCTTAATTCTCACCCACAGACTCTCAACTCGCTCATCATCTGTCCCCGGACAGAACTCAACGCATTGTAGCTGCTCTCACACATAAAGAGCAACCCCACCACCCCGCCTGGCTGGCCTGTCTTTCCTGAAAAGGACATAGCCCTCCGTGACTATATTCCAGTCATGTGAGCTGCCCCACCACGTCTCTGTAATTGCCACCAGGTCATAATCTCCTGACTTAACACAGGTTTCTAGCTCCTCCTGCTTATTTCCCATGCTGCACACATTGGTGTACAGACATTTCAGGGAGCGAGCCGAGCACACCGATTTCACCCTAGGATTACAGGGGGCCTCCCAGTCTTCATCAATTCCGGAGTGCTGTCCCACTGAGGCAAGCCCAGCTACAACCCCATTCCCCTTCGAATCTAGTTTAAAGCTCTCCAAATGGATGAGGATGGGTGCTCCTGCTTTATATAACAAAAGTGTGCTCTTGCATTATGTAATACAGCCACAGTGTGTGCTTATGTATATGTCCTGTCCTTAATTAAATCAAATCTCAACAATATCTTTGCTTTTGGGAACTGAATTCTGGAAGATTTAACCATTTCCAATCCTGTGAAAGGAGTTTTTACTGTGATTGTTTAGGCCATAAGAAAAAACAGGCTTTCTAAAGTCGAAATTCTACAAAAGTCTGAAAGTACGCACTTACAGATAGAGTGACTACAGATAAAAGTGACTTGATTATAAACCAAATTAAGTATGAAGTTTTATTTAACAAGACCTATTTTTGACAAAACCATGTTAACCATCGTTAATTGCATTCATTCCTTTAATTTTTGTATTAATTGAATCCCATATCAGATTACTAGCTTTTCCATTAATTTTCCCTGGGGTTTTTGTGATGATTGCTGGCCTTAAGTTAGTTGGGTCATCACAGCTGCCCTTTCAAAAGAATGGTAAAATATTAGTGCTAATTCAAGATTTCTCTTATTTATCCAGATTTTTAAACATATAGCACTAGACTAAAGATCTTTGCTTAAGTTTTCTTTCATCCCACTATTTTCCCTAACTGTGTGTAAGTAGCTCCTTTGTAGTTCCAAGTATGTATATATTAGCATATGATGTAATTGTATTTTAATACTTTTACTGTTTGTAATTTTTTATGTCTTACACTTTTGATTACTGTTTATAAATACAGAAAGTAATCAGAGCACTTCCCTCATACTAGACAGTATGCAAGTATGGAAATTAATTTGGTTTTTCCTGTTTAAAATTAAAATTAAGACATCCCTAATTACTGTGGATACCTTTTGTGCTACAAACTTAGAACTGTTGAAAATAAATCCTGCCATTGGGGCTGAGTGTATGGGTGTCACCAGATGGCACTGTTGCAAGTGTCTTGTTGATTCTTTTGTCTGGAGGAGACTATATAAAAATAGGCCTTGAAAGATATACTTATTTTTTGTTTAGTTTTCCCTTACAGTAGCATAGGCCAAATCTATCATAAGCTAAATATTTTCTCACAGGCATTGTAGTAGTCCAAAGGTTTTGCTTATGAACTAGCTAAACATACTCTCAGACTACAAACCTCTCAAGAGCCAGGCAGCCTAAGCATTGGCCAAGACTATGATGTTCTTCAATTACCCACAATGTTTTTGGAAAGTAAGAGTCATTTTTTAGAGGGCAAGAAGTTTAAGCATCCTAGCAACATTCAAAGCATGCTGAACTACAAAAATATGGGAAAGACATTCTATTATTTGCTCCTCTGAGTCAAACAGAAAGGTAGGGACATTTATAATGTTTTGTTATCTGAACTGAGAAGAAAAGGGGGAGTGATAAAGTTATTTTAATGTAATGCAGCTTCTGATAAAGTTCTGAAAAAGTTCACAAGCCAATTTCAAATCTGACACACAGAAGAGTAGCAAGTCAGGACTGACAAAGACAGTGACAGTAGAAGTGTGTGGCTGTGCAATGAAGCTCGTACAGCTCTTACACTGCTTTACTTATCAAACTGCTCATTGTTGTAAATTAATATGAAACATAAAAATTGAAGGAATATAGGGAATACTACTGCAACTATACATACAACTTTTATGGGATTTGTATTGCCTATTTCCAATAAAATTATTTTCATGTGTTCGTAAAGCTGTCAATCTAGCTCCACTTGTTTAGAACCTGTATAATTAAGCCTTATTTATTTATTTATCTATTTGCTACTCAGTATCAGAATTATTCATGGTTATGTACATGTGAAATATTCTTGCCTAATCTTTATTTTGCAACATACATATTATAAATGTGGACCCTTGTACTTGACACTTATTTAGCACCTGGTTAAACACCATTAAACTACTTGACACTGAATGTGTGATGGCATTTCTCAATTAAAATGTCTGTTGGCATTCAATAGAATAAGGATAGTAATCATTTCATGGAGAAGGTCCCCATAAAACATCTGTCCAGGTGTAACCTATCCCAACAAAGCAAAAAGAAATTCTATTCGTATTTATCAAAATGCATGATTTTTGTATTTTATATATTATATTCCTATAATGGCTTATTCCTCATAAATTAGACTCCCACCTCAGCATAATTCCCTGAGGAACTATTTGGTACATCAGCATTCATAAAATCCTTTTTCATATAAAACAAAGTACAGGAATGTTGGTATATACATTTAACATAAAGTTTGGGTTTTAAAGTCATGTTCAGAGTACTTGCTCTTTAAATAGCACAGAATACCACTCACTAGAGTGAGTCTCTACCACTCACTTCTGTCTCACTAGAAAATGGAGGCCTAACGAATGCTGCCAGTCTTGTACAAGTGTTTCCTAGAGTGCAAATGTTTAAGATGGAATGTTAAATTGAGCAAATATTTTAATTGCTTCTGTAAACTTATTCGTAGCCACTTCAAGATCAGTGGCTTGCTATGTGTCAGTGTGACTTTCCATTTTTAAGTAGGCAGCCACGTTATATACCAATGATTTTGCTACATCTCCTGCAAGGAAATAGAAACTATTGTTAGAGCACAATATTGAGCTATATATGAAAAAGAAAAATCCCTCATTATGTCAGGAGCAAAGTGGGGGAGGGAGGTATAATTTCTTTTGAGGCCACAGCAACTACCTAGGCATTCAGGAGCATTTCAGGACCTAACATCTCTTGCAGCCCTGTGCTGTGAGTAGTAGGAGTCACTCTCTTCTTTTATGAGGCCCTGGATATAGTTTTCTAGCTCTCCTGGATGTATCTCAAATTGCCAGTTTAAATACGTTGATGAATAAGGACCTTCAGGTAAAGGTACAAAAGTGTTTCAGATACTGTGGAGATAAAAGCCACGTGTGAGTACTTCAATGGATTTCTCCTGTTGTTTGCCCATAGCTGCATTTTCCCCTGTATCCTTAGCCAGAGATAATCGTAATCGTCTTACTCTTTATGTTCTTTAGTGGTCGTTTACATGCCATCCTCACTACACTTTTTACTCATTTATGTGCTTGCTGTTGCTGGGTTAAGGATAATATTTTCTCAGGCCACAGCTGAAATGGTAATTCATAGGGTACTTCTGTCACCTCCAAGGTGGATTATTGTAATTCCTTTCTGGTGTCTACCTGATTATAAAACTTCACAAGTTCTGTTTTACATAAAATGCTGCAGCTGACATGCTTATTCATCTTAAACCAAATTAGCATATCACTCTGGTCTTTTGATCCATGCCATGGCTGCCAGTTAGAGTAGTGCTTCCTTCTTATATGACCTGGCATGCACTGATGCATGATGATGGATTCTGACCACAAGTATTAACAGAAGCATACAGTTTAGACTGTAATATTGCCTTGCTCCTTTCATACACTTTGTCTTTTTCTTTGCTTTATGTTGATGTGCTAACAAATTTAATAGCCATATTTAAGAATAATTAATGCATTCCTAGATATAAGGAATGGGAATTCCTCAGGCATTCTAGTTTAAGTAATGTGTTCTCTAGCTGTAGAAAATCAGGTTGTAAAGTGCTCTTCTAAATGAGGCTTTTACTAGACAAACAGGACTCTGCTGTTGGCTATTTCCACTGTAGGGAATGAAGCCCAAATGTCATTTCCCCTCAAACTGAAACACTTCTATGGTGAATATCACTGAAGCACAAAACTGTTTCTATTTTATATCTACAGGAAAATAATTTGAATTTCACTGATCAAAATATAATTAATAAACTATTGCTATTTGAAATAATCCTATTTAAGAAATGTTGATGATAAGGAACTAATTGCTCAGAGTGTTAGTGGATTCTTTCTCCTATATAGCCCATGAAAGTGTTCATCCTGTTCCTGCTTTGGATTACATTCCTGTCTTGAATATGTTTATTTTTCCCTTATGAGTTACAGAAGAATTCCCATGCACTTGAATATTTTGGGGTGGAGACCTGTTTCCCCCATGCTAGAACCTGACTTTGCAGATATTTATCTTGGATGTTCACCTTGACTAACTTCACATTTGCTATAGTGGTGTCTACTGCTGAGCTAGTTGCCTTGGGCATGTTTGTTTGTTGGTGGAGAAACACAATTTTGGGGCACAGTCTGACTTGTTTTAGATTACTGTTATGGATAAATCAAATTATATTAATCTGCTAATTATCTATATTGAATGAGACACAGCCTTTTCTTATTGATCAGATGAATTCCATTCTCAAAGGCACAACTACCATTATTCATGTAGTACTTCTGCTGAGTTCAGTGGTCATATGTATAAATGTTCACAGGGTGAGCAGTTTATACTACAAATATCTAAAAGTTATTTGATTGGGAAAGTGTCTGTAAATCACATAGTAACTAAAAGACACAAAAGTAAATTCTCAACTAGGATGGCTATTCAGTGCTTTTTCCATACTTACTAGTGAATTACACCTATATTAGGTGAGAAAAAGAATAAACCTGCAAAGTACAGTGCATATATACACGTGCTTATACAAAATAAAAATGCTACCTGTGTACATAGTACTATGTACTTTTGATTCTAGTCTATAGACTGGAAAAAACCTGCAACACAAAGGGATGTAGTAACTTGGTAAACAATCTGGGCCACATTCTCCTCGTCTTACATGAATATGTGCATGAATAATGAGACCCATTTGGTTTTGGCCTTCTTTGTAGCAGAACTAAAATTAAAGAGCATCTTAAATTCCTTCTGCTATAATGCTGTTAATCTCAGCAAACTTTAGAAACTTGTGTGATATGAAAGCCAGCATTTTTATACTTAATTATTTGAAAAATTAAATTGAAATATAGTTTTGAAAACACTGAAATAGACTTTATTTAGTAAAACAGTTATGTTATTTTTGGTTAGATTGCCCGTGCCTCACAAGTCGTGAATAAGTCATATTTACTTTTTGCAAACAAACTTAAGCAATTACATTTTCTGAGCAAGTACAACATTTCATGTTACTTGGCTATTAAGTTTTGTCATACACACTGCTATTTAGAGGAGAAAACAGAAGAAGGTCAAAAAAGTAAGAATATACAAGTAAGAATGTAATATAGGTTGAAATTCCTGAAATGTCTATCATAAACAGGTATCTCTAGAAAGTTATTGTGTATTTTTTCTTAAATAAGCTCACACACACATACATGCTTAAATATACACTATGTAATTAGATTTCTTTTTACTATTGCATAAAAACTGAAGTGCACTGGAACATCTACTATTGAACCTGTTTGCCATGAATATTGAATCTTGATGTATTCATAGAGCTGCAATGGAATACAAACATGTATGCACACATATGTACCACCAATTATAAAAACTGCTATACACAGTGGAATATTCTAATGGGCTGGTCCTCTGTTTATTCTCAAAATTCTTTCCCTCAGGCTCCATTTCTGCTACTGTACCATCTCAAGTGGATTTGAATTTGAAAGTGTTCTTTAGTTTTGAATGTTAATGGATGTCATTGCACTATGGCTCTACAAGAGAGAAGAATATTGCTATCAAATAAAAACACTAAAGTTTTGAAGAAGATGTTTTTTAAGTCACAGCTCTGATAAAAATAAGAATGCTTTCATTTTTGCACATGAAAACAAATTAATCTTGCTCTATAAAGGGAATTTATTTATTTATGCAAAAGGTACACTAAAGCTTGTTTAAATGTGCAAAGTAAAGTAATGGGATGAAATTACTATTGATAAGAAATTATAATTCATATTACGTTAACACCCTGAACAAAGTCAAGACCTATTCTGAGTTCGGCATAGAATGAAAGAAGATCATTCTGGTGTTTCTTAAAATTTGACTTATGCTAGTAATGGATATTAAAAAAATTAATAGCTAGGCAATAATCCATCCTCAATGAAGATTCAGTTAAACCTTGTAGCAGAAATTGCTTTTTGGTTCAGCCTATTTATTCTAAGTCTAGGACTCTGTTGTTTGGGATTTTAGAAGAAAGCCATTTTTTATGCAGATTGCAGTGTAATTGGTGAAATAGTGCCAGCATTTGTTTACATAAGATTTGGTAGAAGGAAAGTATCTGAGCTCATACCAAAAATATCAGCAAGTTGTATGCTATACCGTAAATCATGCTCTACACATTAAAAGCTTTCATATATTCCAATGCTATTTTCAGAAACCAGACACTCTGGGAGAATAACGTGTAGGTCATTAACTAGGTTTTGTCTTTTATTTTCATATTAGAACTTGTCTTCTTTATTTTTATTTGGTTTTATTTGGTACTAAAGTAATATAAACTATCAATGACCTTGCATTTCAAGAACTTGGGGTCTGGATATTTTAGCCCTTGCTTTTATGAACACTTTTTATTCCCACAAACAAGCCTACTGGTGTGGCTGTGAAATTTTGCATGTTGTTATTGCTCATTTTAGAAAAGAAGTCAGAATTGTGCCTTTGGACCTTGAAAATATGAAAACGAAGCTGTAAGGAAAATCAGTATAAATCAGAGTTTGGGGAATTTTTTTGAAAGTATGGCAGAGAAAAACTAGTAATATTGAGCGTGGTGCTCACCGAAATGAGAAAAGTAACAATGAAATGCGAACTTAGTATGCACTTTGACATTCATGTGTAGTGAATTAATGCTAGAATGCATAAAATATTTTATTCTGATTATTTGCAAGTAAAAGCTCAGGCAGCCAATGGTTCAGTTATTTAATATATTAAATAAGAAGTTATGTAAGTATGGTTTTCCAGCTCTCTCTCTCCTTGATCTTTGAAGTGTGTCACTCTTTCATTTTGCCATTCAACAGCCTGACATGCAAAAGCTTTGTTCAGACAGTTTAATTTAATCACTGCCACTGGTTCAACAAGATGATAAAATCCCCTATGCTGTACAACATCCAACATCCAGCTCAATGTTATCTGATATTGTTTGAAGCTCCTCTCATGAATGTATGCTGATAACACAAGAACTCCAAACATGTCATAAACAATATATTAATACCCTTGATTGAATTCCATTAGAATAAGAACGAGATGAAGTTCAGGCCGTCCAAGCTGGCCAATGTAATAAAATGTAATTTGGACTAATCTTTCCAAAGAATGCCTCGTTTTTGAAGCTGACAGTATCCCATCACAAGCAGAAGTAATTGCTTGTTGAATACACTGGAAATCCTTTGAATTCTAGCCTTTGTACTTTGTGCACCTTCCAGGTGTCTCCTGCAGCAGACAATCTACCCTTTTGTTTCAGTGGAGAGATGGCAGGACCACAAATAATGAAATAGGCAGGGGTTGCTTTAATGAACGGTGGGGGGCCGGATGGAATTTCTGGGAGCTTAAGACTAGAAGAGGGGCTGTTTGAGGCAAAAACAGAGCAAAGGACTTGATAGATAATGTTAATTAAAGTAATCTGTTTCCTTAAATTGAGTCAGGAAGACGTAAGAAAGTATTTTAGCCAGTGCATACCTATAGATATCAGAAAGAATACAAATCAATCTGTCTCTGGAACAGATCTTTTCACAAGGGAGTAGCAACACCAAGAACTTATTTAGCCAGAAAATTTAACTGGTTTAAACTGGAATTTTGAGGGTGTGTAATTTGTTAAATTTATATGGTTTACATACAAAGCATTTTTCTTGGCTTTTATTCACTAACAAGAATTTCTTAGATTATTTCAGAAGCAGTAAACTAATAAAACGCAGCACTGTGAATTTGTTATAAATAGTAATGAATTTGTTATTAATTTGTTTTCAACAATTGCTACTTTTTATTTAAAAATTGGCAAGCACTGACATTATTCCTCCTGCTATGAAGAGATATTTATAAATTAAATGCTTAAAGAAAAAAGAGGAGTCTCTGTTTAGAAGCTTTACTTTGTTTTGCTTGTTTTCTGTTTAGTACAGCTGGGTCGCTTCTAATTCTCAGGAACTGTGGGATAAGGACAGCCCAAATACAAAGAAGTACTAAACTGGGTGTTTGGACAGCAGTCACTGCAAATGGTTGCAACTTTATTCATAGATCAGGTCTGTGAACATTTCTATTGCGCTCAATGGCACTTTACAATCTAGTCCAGTAAATGCTTTTTTAGTCCTTCTTCTCAAAAAAAAAAATAATCAGAATTGCATCATCATGGTTATGTATGAAGAATGTTTGTTCCCTATTCAAGAAACATTTAATTCCAGATGAGGAAAAGTGTGTTCCCACTACGAGAAGTTTCAGTTTCAGTGTGGACTTTTCCTCATTGGAACTCAGACGACTGCCACAGGAGCTCTACCTTTTACCCAATTACAGATTGTTGGTTCTGCTGCTTGCAGAACTCCCTCACAGCTGGTGAATGGTGCTACAAATCCACCTCTGCTCTGAAAAGGTAGATTGGCACTATTTCCCCATTCAGACTGTGTTTTCTACCATTTACCAAGCTTTTAGCTCTGTTATATGTACACCAAAATATCAGCTGAGATTATTGAGATTTGCTCTTGTGAAAATACTTGACCTAACCAATAAAATTCAAAAGCATCTCAACAGCTTGGTAGCTTACTTCCTCATAGCAGTTTGTACAGGTGGATTAAATTAATTTATTTTTCTCTCTCCCTCTCCCATAACTGAGGAGATGCAATATTGTCTTTGGCAGAAGCATGGCTTCAAGGTTGTTCTGTTTATCTCCGTAAATACATGTAGTTCTTAGTGCAATCATGACAGTACTTTCACCATTTCCTATTCTCTTTCCAAGAGGTTGCAAAATACATCTACTTGAGGAAGGGTAATAGCTGTAATCTTAATCTGGGGCAATTTGAAATAAATACAGCTGGCATCGCACACAGATAAACACTGATTATGACAGAATTGTTTTCTGTAATATTTCAGCTCCTTTTAGGCTAGAATCTGCAAACGCATATGCTCAACTTAAAATGTGTGAAATCAGCTGCATCTCACTGGAGCTGCTTGTAAACTTAAAGGAATAAAATGCTTGGGGAAAGGAAATGTAAAGTATTTGCTGGATTAAGACCTTCAGTGCTGCAGTTTGGGTGTTTGTGATATACACAATATATATCAACAGCCATTAAAATATGTTTCAGGAAAGAGTTCTAGAGATTGATTGTTTCTTCAAAAATTACTCCAAAAATCAATCAGAACTGTTTTAGAAATATGCCTACTATGCACCAAGATCTAGTTTTCCTTTTTTTTAACAAAATTTATCAATCCATTAAGAGGAGACAAGTAAACAAAAATGAATTGTCATTTGTGTTATTTTATTAGTGTCACATGAGATTACAGCATATTATTGATTTGAGAATATTTTACCCAAGGAGACTTGTTTTAACATGAACAAATCAGGATCAATACGGGATATGCATTCATTTTCATAAAAAGCTACAAGGCAATATTTTTTTTCACAAATCCCATGATTATACTTATGGCTTTGTAAAAAAACTATCATTGTGACCAAATGAGGACCTAGCTAAGATTTAATTATTAAAAAATGGATTATTATTTGCATTGTTGCTTACTTTCCCAGGTGTATTATTTACTGACCAAAAGTAATTTATGTGCTCACCCGGTTATAGAGTGAAGTTAGATTGCCTCTGCAATTTTTGCTGACTTTGCTGCCTTAGCTTACTTTATCAATTCTCTTTTTTTCCCCCCTTTTTTCATTAGAGATCGCATATAGTTTAAGGGCTGTAATCTGAAACCTTACAGCTCTAGTGGATACTTAAAAGACTCATTGATACACTTTGAAACCAAGTCAATTGAACAGCATTAGCAACAGCAGCATCTAGCCATTAGGCTATTAGGATCATTTGCCGAGGCACTAAAATTAAATATAGGGACTCTAGCAATTCCCCAATTATATTGTGTTTGTATAATGGCAGTGAAAAGGATATTATTTTAGTCAGCTCAGTGCTACTATTGCAAGAATCGAGATGCTCTCCATTTTGCAGGTGTAGGTATGTATTGGCCAGGACACTGACATTAATTTAATTCCCTTTGCAAGCAGAATAGATCAACACCATGGACAGGAGTCAAATACTACTAGCCAATACCAATTTTTCAGAGGCCCCATATTTAATTTTTTTTATTATTATTATTTTTTGAGGGGGTCAGCATTTAAAATAATTCATGTAGGTTAAAATATCACCTAGAAAAAGATATTGAGGAGGCACAGTAAATGGTGCAGAGTCAAGGGAAGGAAATTCCTTGCCTCAGTTAGCTGTCCCCTACAGCTGTGACTCTTCTGGTTTAGCCTCCCACATGTAGCTCATATCTTCACAATTCCCTGGAGATAAAGCTTCCTGGAAAAAGAGAAAATCTGATCTACAATCATGAAAAAAAAGAAAAGGGAAGTTCTGATGTAGGCCTAGGAGTCAGCTATAAACACACTTGTTCCATTTTGATTTGCGTACAATCCTCTATTGCAGTAAGAGAGAAGGAAACTATTAACAGTTCAGTCATGAGTTACTTTTGTTTCCCAATGCACACCAAAGGCATGTTGTACTAAAAGTGAGTGGTGCTAACAGCAATATAAGAATGGCTGTATCATGGTGAAGCGGAAATCCCATTAGCCCAGTTCAACACCGCCAACAGCAAGTGCCTAGAGTAGTGCATGAGGTGATACATGCCCAGCACACCTTTCACTGATTTGCAGCTCAGGGACTTTTGGACTCAATGATCAGACTTTTGTACTTGCTAGACTTTGATTTTTTTCATCACTAGTTTGTCCATTTGCTTTTTGAACCTATATAACCATTAAGCATCCGTAAAACTCTTGTGGTTAAGTGATATGCAGCTTAACTATGATTTATGAGAATAAAAAAAAGTCCTTTGTTTGACACTTGTGATCTGCTAATTTTGCATAAGGCTCTTTCCATCTTTTATTAAGAACAACATGGGACTGCTTTATTTCTCTTAGACACTCAGGATTTATAAACCCTGTGGCGTATCTTTTCGGTGCTGAAGGATCCTAGTTTATTTAGCTGTTCTTTGCATGGGAACCATTCTATACCTTTTTCTCTTTCTCACTCCTCCCTCATTTTTAGCGCTACTATATCCTTTTTGACACTGGGTTCCAGCACTACATGTACCATTCAGGGTATGCATCCATCAGTGTCTTGGCAATGTTTCAGTTTCATTCTTTCCATTCTACAGCTCATGAGTTCAGCAACTCATCTGTTTTTTCCATCTGTACTAGTTAGACTAATAATTTTATTATCTCTGTGTACAGAACCAGATAATGACCACTGCAGTGCTATATTTATCTGAGCATGAGATGATGTTTTTGTATCTCTAATACTGGATTTAGATACTACTATACAGTATCTAAATGTTCCTGAACTATGAAAAGGTGCTAGTTTTTCCTAAGTGTTCTGAGCTATGAAAAGGTGCTAGTTTACACTTTCTTTCAGTGAAAAATAAAAACATCATAGGAGACCTGGTCTTGGATCAAGAAGTCACAATTTAATTACAATTTAATTCAGTGGAAGAAAAAGCTGAATTATATCTGTAGCTAGGTATCTTAATTTAAGTTATGTGTGGACTCAGGCAGTCATATCTACAGCAGACTTGTAATTTCCTTTAGTTAAAAATACAGAAATTGGAGTTTGTATGCAAAGAATATGGAGAGACATGTAGGAAAGTACCCCAATCTGACTGGAAACAACAGATGTCTTGAAAAGAATTTTAAGGAGAAGCAGAAAATATTAAGTGAGAGGTGAAAGAAATTTTCAAGGAAAGAACCTCAGAGCAAAAGTGAATTCTGAAAGCATAGGAGCCATATTCCCTGTAGCAAGTACTTACACCTGGGATAGCAAAAGGCTAGTCTTAACAATTCATGTCATTCCCTCTAGTTATGGTTTTCTTACTAGTGCTGTTATTCTTACTTTTCTCTTATGCTGCTTCTCTCCTGCTTTTCATCTCTCTTTACACTCGTGTTGTTTATTTTCAACACTCAGTCAGGTTAGGCACCTCCACTGAATTCTGGCAAGGAGTTAACCTTCTTCTTTCAATACAAAATAATTTATTCGCCAGCATATAGTTCTGTGTCTTTTCATTCTTCCTCCTGTTGTCACTACCTTAATTCACTACCTTAAGAAAATGACCTCTTCTTTTGTCCCCTTTTAGTCTTTCTCACACAGTCCTAGTGATTACAGTTGTAGTCTATTACTGGAGTTAACATTTATTTTAATTTTGGTATTTTGGATTTTTGGATTAAAAAATCCTTTGCCTTTTCTGTAAAACACATTTGTCCAGAAGATGATGGTTTCTAAACATTACTTTCATTTCTAACCTTCCCTTCCACAAAATACTTCAGAAGATACAATTTCCTCACCTAAGCAGTCATAGAATCATAGAATCATAGAATGGTTAGGGTTGGAAAGGACCTTAAGATCATCAAGTTCCAACCCCCCTGTCATGGTCATCTCGCAAAACAGCATTAAAAAAAACAAATAAACTAAAAAAGGCAGCTTTCAAATGGTGTTTGTTCTTGTTCTGGCTAAATGAATGGTTTACAGAAAAAAAACTCCAGAAGGCTGTGTTGAAGTGGGAAGGCCTGGAGAAAGAGCAAGGAGAAAGGGGAGGCCTGAGATGGTGAGACAACCTGCTGTAAGAAGATACCCCCTCCCTCCTATAAGGTATATTTACCTTATATGTAATGCCACTCAAAACTGGGCACAGGCTGAGCAGCTGAAAGTGATGAGGTGCTAGAGCTCCACTATGGACTAAACTAGTTTGATGCTTTTTTAAAGGGAACTGATAATCAATCAAATACAAAAAAACCAAAACAAAAAACATTTTTTTCCTTTGTTCTTTACATGCATTTTTGTAAATTTTTTTGTGGCTTTTTGTGAAAAAGGGCTCTTTTAATTACTAAAAGAATAGGTTGTTTTTACAGACATTTGAGAGAAGGCATTACATTTAATTTATATTTACATTACATTTCAGCTTGACACGACTTTATATTTTAATTCATTCTGAGACTGTGAATGGAAATAGTGGGTGGGAAAGCTATAAGGCAAGTTAAAACGCCATTCCACTGCAGTGTGTATAAGCAGCATGCTTTCTCTTGTTTGAGAATTTACAGCAGCTCTGAGTTTTCATGAAGTATGTAATCAACCTGTGGAGCAAGGAAGCAATAGAAATGTCTGGATCAATGTTTCTGAGTTTGGTGAGGAGTTTTGGAAAAAGAACATGGAACTTTTCTGTCAGGAGAGAAATATTACCCTTGTAGCAGACAGCTTTACATGGCACTTTACAGCTTTATTTTTATTTTCTTCTCCTTCATACAGTAAAAATAGTATTTCTTCCTGCAAGCACAACTCAAGAATGTCCTCTAGACAAAAGCTAAATTAAAAACCTTAAAAAGAAAAATGAAAATAAAGTTTGGTTGCTAGTGTTGATATACAATGCACAAATTATTTCTGTCTGCCCTTGATGAGCTTGCCAAATCTTCAAGAGCAACCAACGCAAACCTTAGAATTCTGACATTAGCTCAGACTAGAGCAATGCACTGTAGTAACAGCAGTGGATTTTTCTTCATCAGCAGCTGAATCACACTGCTCATAGCATTTGCTGGACACAGCATTCATGAACTAGATTGCTGTTTCACAATCATGCACTATTAACTTCTGCTGTAAATGTGTTTTTGCCACTCAGTAATTGGATTTAAAAAAAAAAGCAGGAAAAACTTTATTGAGGTTTTTGAACCTTGTGGAGGATAGTGAGATTCCTTTTCACTAACTTATAGCATGGCATACACTGGAATTGGTTAAGGGTGCATAGCTACAGCAATAATAATTTTGTAATGAGATATAAAGCAAACATGAGAATCTATAACAGGTATTTTGATTCCCTTTTGCCCCTAAGTAAATGGGTACTGAGTCCAAGCCAATCATACTATCTACTACTAATATTACAATTGTACCAACTACCAAGCTAAAGACATGCTACATGGCAAAGGCCCAGAAGGATGTTGGTAATTTCTGTACTTGGATGTGTATACATTTTGTTCTATTGTAAGACAGAATAATATATATATATAAATAGAAACCAATAATGCTATTGTAAAAATCTGTTTGCCAATTGATTTTTGCAGAAGACATTAAAAAAGCTTTTAATGTACAAACATAGATAGCAGAAATAGATGCATGCACAAAAAGGCATCTTAGACAAAAAACGGAAACATTTAAGTGAAATATTTGTGGCCATTTTCCTACTCTTGCTTTTTGACTAGACTTGTAACATGTGAGAAGGGCAATACAGAGTAGTGGCTGCAACGTTAGTTTGAAATGCCAGAAGAACCTATATTTTAATCCAGGTTGCCTGCTGAATAACCACAACTGAGGTTTCCTTCTCTGACAAATATGAAAAAACAAAAACTTCAGTAATAGTTTTGTTTTCAAAGTCTCAGCAATTAAACAAAAGATTTTTGAATGTAATCTTGTGAAAGATTGTGTAACACTGCTTTATCTGAATCGGTCTCCCTTTTTTTATTCATTTTTTGTAAATAGCCTGGTACATAGGCTTTGTAAATATCCTATATGAACTTTCTATGAACAGAATTTCTGTGTTTTGTAGTGAATATAAATCATAACAACTTAGTGATGGCCTTTGTCCAGATATGCAGCATTAATTAATATAGTACACAAGTGAAAAGTTGCCAATCTTAATCAATCTTCTCTGTTGTGTGGAAGTGTATTCAGAATTAAATATACATTAATGAAGGCAGAACTGAGAATATTCTTATCACTTTTCACCTGCAACCACTGAGTGTAGCTGCACAAGTAAACAACAGTTCTGGGGCCCGGGCTTAAGCACAGCCCAGAATCACTCATCTTCTCCATTTGTACAAACAAGGACCCATTCCAACTAGCTCTCTGTCCTTATCTCTAACGATAGCTAGGCAGAATTCTGCTTGATTCAAGGGCTTTTCTCAGCAAGTAGAGACAAGCTTATTTGGTTTGGAGGCAAAGGGATTTTAGCTGCAGAGATCCAAACAAC